GTGGTCCGAAAGGTTGAACAAGCCCCTCCTATTAGGGCCACTTGTTGTTCTTTTAGTTTAATCACCGTCACTATGCAGCTGCTGTCGGTCGTGCTTTTTGCTGCTATAACATGTACAGCAATGGCTGAAAGTAAACAGGGTTGTAAGTTGTTGTTTTCTTTTTGTAATTTTTAGTTTGAAGCTGTCTGCTTTTCACAACGCCTTAAAATATTTCTTAGCTCCAAAAGCCGTTGGACCATGTATCCTGAACCGTTGCCCTAGGGGATTCGAATGCGCTCAAGCAGAATGTATACCGAATCCAAATGAGAGTAAGTAGTATAGACGGTTTCACGGTTAAACCATGCCGATTCAGCTCCAAGAAGCAATTACCGAAGCTCTTTCAGCACTCAGAAAGATAACTTTCGAGTCAATGAAGACAAATAAAATCGTTTTTTTGCCAGTAACTTTCGAAAATTGACAGTAAAATGTCAGTATTCGATAAGCATCTTCTCACACGAAGATTCACCCATAATCAATTTAATAGTACAATTACCCTTTGATTCAATGGGATAGGGGCTGTAAGGGCGACCGCTTGCCCCCGCGCCGCATCTGTGTCTCTCCAGCGCGCATGCTCTGATCACTCTCTAGCCTTATCTAGGTCACAAAACACCACCTTCCTGCCGCCTATCTGGTTGAAACAAAGGTTAACTCAACATTCATTCTCTGACTAAGAGACTCGAAACTTCCTTGCACCACTGTCAAAACAAGCTTGATCGTGTTTTCAACAAGTTTGTACTTATGAAAAGTTTAATTTAGGATTATTTGTCACTCAAAAGTCTGTTTGAACAGTGTGCGAAGCTGTTCCGAGTCTCTTAGTCATAAAATGAATGATAGTTAGACAGCTTTCTCGAAGTCTACAAAAGTGTTCTCTAACTCAAGAACAAGAAAATTTCTGAAAACGCGCGGTTTACGAGTTCCGCGCTTCTGTCGAATTATCGGGCATCTACTGAATTTTTTCTTTCAGTTGAAGAACTTGGTCCCTGCGTAAACAACATGTGTCCTAAATCATACCAGTGCAACGATGACATCTGTATTCGACCAAAGCGTAAGTTGAACATTTTTTAAATTATTTTTGACATAATATTCTTTACATTTGAGTAGTCTTTTGATCCCTAAAATTTTGCGCGATTTTGGGGCGCTTCCACAGGCAAGAAAACTTGCAGAAGTTATAAAGTTATTTTTACACTACATTTTGTCATGGGCAAGTGGTGATAAATGGAAACAACTGTACATAATTCAACTTTCAGCCAAAGCCCGGGCTGGAGCCGAATCCATTGGACCTTGCGTCAACGATCTATGTCCCGATAATCACTTCTGCGTCGTCAGCGAGGGAAAGTGCTATCCAATGGAAAATTGAGACATATGAGCTTACTATTTGTACTTTGTAAAATAATAATTTATTTTCCCATATCACTATGTGTCAATTGCCTGTATCATAAATATTATGTATGATTGCTGTTTGCTACATTTACAACTATGAGTTGAAATCTTACCCGCAGGGCGTATGCAGACTTCCCAAATAGGAATAAAAAGATCCGTAAAATGGGCCTCCGGAAAACATTTGGAAATAATTTACAAAAATCATGATAGTAAAAACCAAATCAGTGCTCAAAAAGGCTGTAGGGGCTCAGCTTAGCAAGAAAAT